GCAGGACGTCTACAGCCTTTATAAGGAAGAATCAAGTCAGAGGCCATTAGGTGAAATAAGCTGGTCACTGTCAGCCAAGTACTCCCAGCCTCTTCCACATGGAGTCTGAAAACAGCAAAACTCATGGAGGGAGAGAGCAGCATCGTGGTTAGCAGGGGCTGGGGATGGAGATGCGAGGACAGGGAAGCACCGGACAGTGTTTTAGTTGAGGGAAAGAATTATGTCCTCAGTGTCTTACACAGAGTGGTGGGCATAAATAATCTCAATATGCTATGTGCCCCAAAATAGTTGAGTGAATTTTAAACATTCTCATCACAAAGAAATGACAAGTAGGTGAGGAGATGGGTGTGTTAACAACTGTGACTGGGTCATTCACTCAGATCAAAACATCACATTGTACAATATATATAAAATATACTACATATATGTAGTATGTATAATATACTATATATATAATAGTACTTTCAATTAAAGTGAAAAAATTTTAAAGTGCATAAAATATAAACATGAGCATCAAGGACTAATGATAGCAAATAAGCACCCAGTGATCACACGGCCCAAGGACCAGGACTTGCAACATCCCACACCATCCAGGACCCACAGGCTCTGCCCAGCACCTGCCTCCTGCTTTCCTCCCCTTCTATGAAGCACTTTCTTTTTTTTGGTGGAACCAGTGATTGAACTCAGGCCCTTGTGCTTGCCAGGGAAGCACTTATTCTACTGAGCCATCTCTGCGGCCCCAAAGCACTTTCTTCATTAATTTCTTGGCAGTGGCTCTCCTGTTCCTGCTCCCCGAGCTCCTCCTGTCAGAGCTGGGTGATCCTGTGTAAGCTCTCGGCTCCCAATTGCCTCACACACATTGCTACCCTGCCTTCTCCAGAAATCTGCAGGCCCCATAGGAAGTGAAAGACCTCCACAAAGCAAAGCACAGTCCTCTGACAAAAGAGACTGAAGACGACACCAGAAAATGAAAAGATGTCCCTGTTCCTAGGTAGGCAGAATCAATATTGTCAAAATGGCCCTATGCCTAAAACTGTTATACAGATTCAATGCACAATGCAACAGCATACTTTACCGATATAGAAAAGACTGTCCTAAAATTCATATGGAACCAGAAGAGACCAAGAATAGCAAGAGCAATTTTGGGCAATGAGACCAAAACAGGAGGCATAGCAATGTGTGACTTCAAGCTACACCACACAGCAAGACTGACAAAAATGCCATGGTACTGGAACAGAAACAGGCATGTCGGTCCATGGAACAGAATGGAGGGCACAAAACTACCCCGGACACATTCAGCTATTAGATCTTTGACAAAGTGGCCAAAAGCACCATGTTGGCAGAAAGTTGGCCTAGTCAACAAATGGCGCTGGGAAAACTGGTTATCTGTGTGCAGAAGCCTGAAACTGGGCCCTTATCTCTCATCATATACTCAATCAAAATGAAAATGCATCAAAGATCTAAATACTAAAACAGAAACATTAATCCTATTAGAAGGTAAAACACTTGAAGACATAGGTGTAGAAAAGGACTTTCTAACCAGAACCTCAAAAGTGTAAAGTAACAGCAAGATTCAACAAATGGGATGATGTCAGACTAAAAAGCTTTTTGTACAGCAAAAGAATGAATAAGCTGAGTGAAGGGAAAACCTACAGAATGGGAAAAGCATTTTTTCCAGTTACTACTCAGACAGAGGACTAATACTTAGTATATATAAAGAACTCAAAAACAATTAAGCCACCTAAAATTAATGACCCAGACAAGAGAAGTGAAGACACTTCACAGAGAAAAAATACAAATGGACAACAAATATATGGAAAAAAGTGGTGAACATCTCTGGTTATTAGAGAAATGCAAATTACAACAAAGCTAAGATCTCACCTCACTCTGGAAAGAATGGCAATCATTACGAAACCAAACAGTGACAAATACTGGCAAGGCTGTCGGGAAGCACCACTCCATCGCTGGTGGGAATATAAACTCGTACAGCCATTGTGGAAATCAGTGGATATTTCTCAAAGAGCTGAAATTAGAAACTCCATGGGCCCCAGTGATCCCCCTGCTGGGTGTCTTCTCTAAAGGTGGTAAGTGCTTATACTTCAGTGGCCCTCATGGTTATAGCCAGCGCAGCTCATAATAATTAAATCTGGGAAGCGGGCCAGGGAGATGGCTCAGTAGAATAAGCGCTTGACTGGCAAGGGTCTGAGTTCAATCTCCATTTCTGAAAAAAAAAAAAAAATCTTGGAAGCAGCCTGTCTACTCATCAGTAGAGGATTGGATAAAGAAAATGTGGCATCTAAGTATAATGGGACATTACTCTGCTATAAAGAGTGACAAACTGGATACATCTGTAGAAAAATGGATATGTATGGAAAATACAGCTTTTAACCAGTTACACAGATGGTATCTCATTTGAGTGAGGCAAAGTACAGACAAGGATGGATAGACAGGGATGGACTTCCTGCAGTAGGGGAGTGGACCAGAGGCCAAGGGGAGGGCGAAGCAGGAGGGAAGGGGAAGGGAGCAGGACAAAGACGTGCTGCACACAGGGACCTAATCGTGGAAACATTACAGGGCATAATGTAAGATTAGCACCAACAAGGATGAAAAATGGGATGGGGAACTGGAGGAGAAGAAAGGGAGGGAGAGAGAGGGAGTGAGAAGGGGACTGAAAAAGAGAAAGAAACAAGCTATAACATGTATACGTAACCACTCCCCAAGGTGACTGTAGGCTGTATGAACTGCCAACATGCACTAATAAAGTTAAAAATGAAAAATGAAGAAGAAATCCCCTGGCTCCACCCCCAGCCCCATGCTTACCCTGGCTTCCGGGGTCTGGAAGTCATGGCTGCCCTTCCTGTACTGGACTCCTGACTGCTATTCCAGCTCCTCCAGAGCCTGACCACACCTAGCCTCTTGCTGCTCTTTCTCCCTGGGATGACCAAGACAGCATGACTGCTTCTACCCATGGCCCAGTGGTTGACGCCAGGTCAAAGTCCAGGAAAGCTCTTTCTTTCTTTCTTTCTTTCTTTCTTTCTTTCTTTCTTTCTTTCTTTCTTTCTTTCTTTCTTTCTTTCTTTGGTACTGGGAATCAAACTCTGGACCTTGTGCTTGCCAGGCAGGCACTTATGCTGCTGAGCTGTCTCCCCCGCCCTAGGAATACTTTTAAATTTCAGCAACTTGTGCTCTCTTCCTATCACACTTAGCCTGGAAGCCAGAGTTCTTACCTGAGTCCACCAACTCCTGCACCCCCATGGTGATGGCAAGCTGTATGAATAGCACACATGTACTAATAATGTTAAAAATAAATAATTAAACAGAAACCCCCAGGCTCCACCACCCGGTCCTGTGCTTGTCCACTTCATATTGTGCCTCACTCCCCTGTGGTGTCTCTGCTCTGGTCCCACTGCACTCCCAGTGGCCCGCAAATGCCCCAGTCTGCTCCTACCCCAGGGCCTTTGTGCACGCTGCTCCCAACTCCCTTTCTTGGGTACCCTTGGGTTCCTCCCTTGCCTCTTTCTACTCCTTGCTCCAAGGCCATCTCCCCTGGGAGAACTTTCTTGACTCCTCTCCTGGCGTTTCCTACTCACTGCCCTGGCATTGCAGCGCCCCACTCACCCTTCGGCCGTGGAGCCTAGGTGCACAGCACTGCCTTCCCCTTTCCCGCTGGCGCATCAGCTTCAAAGCAGCAGAGCTTGCTTTCTCTCATTTATCTTTCTTCACTGCTGTTGTGTTTCCAGAACAGTCCTGGGGCTGACCACTGGGATGAAGGGGCACATTTCCTTAAAATCTCCAGAATCCCAAGCAACAGGCAGCAGTGGATACAGAGTCAGCTCCTAACTTCTGTCCTTTGGAAATTCAGAGATTCCCTTCTCTTTTAAATTAAATGCAAAGTTATAGCTACAAATATATTGAAATAAAATTAAGAAGTTCTAGTCAGCAAAAAATCCTTCAGAAAGTGTAATACAAACTATGAAAGAGGATATTATAAGAGATATAGCCAAAAAGATTAATATTATTAATCCTATTATATAATCTGTTATGCAAATATATCCAACCGGATCACAGCTTTTACAGTTAAGCAATGATATAAAAATTACCTTGCCACTTGTGTGTCCATTTAAAAATATACCAGAAAATGGCTTTGTGCT